GGCCAGCCCTCCGTGTCCCGGCAGGGCAGCGAGCGCTGCGCCTTCAGCCGGCACACCAGGCACATGAAAATCGCGTCCACGTTCTGGCTCTCCTGTGGGTCCTTGGCCGAGGTCTCAAACAAAAGCATGTTGTGAGCGTCGGCGAACTTGAGGGCCAGGCTGGATGGCACCTGGATCAGGTCTTTCAAGTCACACTTGTTCCCCACGAGCACCCTGGGGACGAGCGGGGGCACGGCGTGCCCGTTGCACTCCTCGATCCACGTCTTGAGGTTGCTGAAGGAGCTCATCTTGGTCACGTCGTACACGAAGACCACGGCGTGCACGTTGCGGTAGTAGTGCTCCACCATGCTCTTCCGAAACCTCTCCTGGCCAGCCGTGTCCCACACCTGCACCTGGGAAGGGAAGCAGACAAGAAAAGAGGCTGCAGGAGTGTGGAGCCCTGGCAGGGCCGTGGGGAGGGCTCCCTGCTCTCGGGCTTTCAGAGAGTCCCAGCATGGTTTGCACTGGAAGGGAACTGAAAGATCATCCAGTCCGTGGCAGGGACACCTCCCACTACCCCAGGCTGTCCAAGCTGGCCTTGGGCACTTCCAGGGATCAGGAGGCAGCCACAGCTTCTCTGAGCAACCTGTGCCAGGGCCTCACCATCCCCACAGCCAAGAATTTCCTCCCAATATCCAATCTAAACCTGCCATCCTTCAGCTTAAGGCCACTGTCCTGCCCCTCCATCCCTTGTCCCAAGTCCCTCTCCAGCTCTCTTGGAGCCCTTTTATGCACTGGAAGGGGGTGAGGTCTCCTTAAGGAGACTTCTCTTCTCCAGGCTGAAGAACCCCTGCTCTGCCAGCCTGGCTTCAGAGCAGAGGGGCTGCAGCCCTCTGAACATCTTTGCAGCCTCCTCTGGACTCCTTCCAACAGCTCCATGTCTATTTGTGCACCAGATCCTACGCCATGAGTGAGAACGCTGATTTCACAGAGGAAAAGAGAAAATGAGGAGGGGGAGCCACTCTTTGTGTGGGAGCTCTGTGGGGATGGGTGAGGAGCCAGCAGAGCTCATGGGGGAGGATTAAAGAGCAGAACATCACAGGTGACGTTGTAGGGGGTCTCTGCTATGGAGATGAGGTGCTCCATGGACAGTGAGCAGCAGCCTTGTGTTTGCAGCCCCTGGCTCTCACAGGGAACTTCAGCCAGCCCAACACCTCCTGGAAGGGCTGCACAGCAGGGCACAGGCAATCCAGAACATTCCAGGACACCATCAATGACAACTTCCTGACCCAAGTGACAGATGCCAGGAGGCCTCTGGGCTGGAGGAGCAGTGAGGTGGATTGGGACCTGGCTGAATGTCTGGGTGTAGACAGTGCTGGTCAGTGACACCGAGCCTGGATGGACGCTGGTAACCAGCAGAGTGCCCCAGGGCTCAGGCTGGCTTCTCCTGGTAGGGTTTGGTAGCCTGGAAGTGGCAATTTCCATGGAGACAGTACCTGCCTCCGAGCCTTTCCAGCCAAAAAACACTGGCAAAGCAGAGCTGCTGCTCAGCCCTCTCAGGGCCAGTCTCTCCCAGGCAGAGCAAGAGAGGGAGGGTCCCTCTCACCTCCTCTCTTAGATATAAATCCCAGGAAAAGGCTGGTTTGCTGCACTGCCTCCCACTCCTGCCCACTGGAGCTCAAATAATATCCAAAGGTAGGAAACCTGGCAATGTTTTCCGGATAGTGGCAGCAGACAGGCTCCGTGCCAGCCTGCAGCACAGCTCACAGCGGCACCGTGGGGCTGGACAGAGCTGGGGAGGGCAGGGACAACGAGCACCTCTAGAGGAGAGGGAAAAGCATTCATGGACAGCCTAGAAGCACAACCAAAGCTCTCAGCCACCAACACAAGCTCTGGTTTCATTGTGGGTTCAACTTTTGATCAGCCATCTGTCAGCCCGGCAGTGATGTTTGTTCTGCAGCTCCAGCCTCAGGGACTGTGGGTGCTGATCCCCACAGCTGGGCAGGCCAGGCTGCAGCACAAACTCTGTCCCCGGTGGTGTCCAACCAGTGGCACATTCGCTCTGACACGCCAGCCAGAGCTCTCCAGGTCTTGGCTGATCATCCTTTCCAGGTGTCACACCAGCCTTCACAAGCAAATTCATCCAGGCACAGCTGGGAGCAGGTTCCAGCCCCGCTGGCACAGCGGCCGAGCCCGTGTGAGGGCCCTGTGAGAGCTCTCAGCCTTCCAGTGTGCCAGCCCACCGCCCTCTGCCTCCCCAGAGCCCCTGGCTGTGGCAGAGAGCTCTGTCCCCCATCCCTCCGCCGGTCCGGAGGGAGCTGGAGCCACCCCAGCGCTGTGAGCATCCAGCTGTGCCGTGAGCATCCAGCTGTGCCCATGGCAGGGTGGCCGTGACTCACCCGAGCCGTCCCTGCTGATCTCTGCAAGCCCACAAACACCGACAAGGCAGCGGGGACCCTCCAGGGCCATCTCTGCAACACGGGAACGAGAATTCTCCCCTGGCCCTGTTCCCTCCCTCCAGCTGGGATGAAAGGAAAAGCCCCCAGGAGGGGCTTGGCAAGAGGCAGGGACGGGGACCGGGGCCGGCTCGGGGCTGCTGCGGGGCCCACCGGGGCCGGTGTGAGAGCACCGGGGGCTGAGCGGGGCCCACCTTGATGCGCTCCCCCTCGATCTCCACCGTCTTCTCGCGGAAGTCCACGCCGATGGTGGCCTCGGTCTTGCCGGGGAAGGTGCCCCCGCAGAAGCGGAAGGTCAG